TTCTAGACCAAAAAAATTTCTTTTATTCACAACAATTTGGCTTTCGTCAAAATCATTCAACATCTCATGCAACATCCCTGCTTGTCAGTAAAATTCTAAAAGGATTTGATAAGAATGAGCATACTCTCAGTATGTTCTTGGACCTTTCCAATGCATTTGATAGTATTGACCATGACATGACATTACTAGCCAAATTGCACCATATTGGCGTTAGAGGTCAGAGTTATAATTGGTTTAAAAGCTACTTATCAGGAAGGAAACAAGTAGTTATATACAATGATGTAGCAACTAGCACATACTGTAATTTGACTGTAGGCACTTTACAAGGTTCTATTTTGGCTCCATTATGTTTTTCAATCATTATTAACGCCTTTCCGAATACTCTTCTTCACTCTGATATCATACTTTTTGCTGATGACTCAACGCCATATCTTCGAGGCAAAAACTTGCCTGAACTTTTGACCAAAGCAAATACCGACTTAGAAAATATTCAAGCTTGGTTGTCTGCGAACAAACTCACTCTTAATGTCGATAAAACTAAATATATGGTATTTAGCACGCCGAAGCAAAAGTGTCCAACACTGCAGCAAAATTTGGAATTAAATGGAATAAATCTAGATTGAGTTAATCAGACTCGCTTTCTGTGTGTAATGGTCGATAATAAATTGTCTTGAAAACAACACACCAATATGGTTCTATCGAAAACAAGGTCGTCGTCTCTTAGTGCCATTACCAAAATAGCCAACAACATTATACATCTTGTTTAATATCTCTATACCACTCTCTGATAGAAAGCCATATTCGTTATTGTGCCTCAGCTTATGTTCATCGCCAATCGTCCATTCTCAAAAAAATTCGAAGTGTTTGCAATCGCTTTATTAGAAGAGTTTTTCATAGAGGTAATCGCGAAAAAATTGATGAGTTATTTAAAGAGCATAGGCTACTACGAGTTGTGGATTTAGCTAAATTCGAACTATGTGCTATGATGTTCTCTTGTCACATTGGAGAGCTTCCGTCCAGCCTGTTCCAAGCAAACCCAAATTCAAACAGCAGAAATAAAGATAATTTTTTATTACATTTGTCAGTAAAAGTATTTCACAAGAATCAATCGCAGTATGTGGACCAAAAGCTTGGAATTCCCTACCCGATGACATCAAAAATTCAAAATCGAACTCAGAATTTTGTTCCAAACTTAAACAATATCATCATATTAGCAATTTTCTTTGCTTTGAACATGTTACTGTTTGGAGATTTTTTTTTAAGGTGAATTCAACACTGAAAGGGAGAGCTGTTGATTATTTGGATTGAATGAACTATCAGGAAACTGTCCTCCTCTTCAGTCACCATAGACCAGCTGACAATTTCAATAACTCCACAGGATACTTCACCCGGATTCAATATAGAACAATGGACTGAATTAATAACTAGCACACCATTCTAATTTCATTATCATGCGTAATTAGACAAAGACAAAAGCACAGCAATTTAGGTTATAGAAAGTACAATACGATAGAACTTCAATGCACAAATAGTAGGGAGTAGGGACAATGGTTTTTGTTTGAGTAGCATGTTGTTCAATTTATTTCCATTGTTGCTACCTATCACCAAATCACACTTTTTCTTCTGCTCATCCCAGGATATCATATAATTTTATTATTTTAATTTACATTGGAAAATCCATGACATGGTAAAATGACTTCTCTTTATAACTTATCATTCCCTATCCCACTGTACCTTTATACCTTTCTAATCTTCTGGCTGAAATGCAACAATAATAGATTGTGTGGAAATGCTTTTTATTAATTTTATTTTATTTTTTGAAACTTCATCGTTTTTGGCTGAATCCAGCATTTCAAAAAAAAACTTACAATAGTGAGTAATTTGATACATAACTTTATCATATTTCATCAAAACCTGTATGGTCTTGTACATACATCCCGTCTTCAGTATTTATATTTACTTACTCTTTTGTATTGCTTTTACGAGACGAATAAACATACATACATACCATTACTAGACTATATCTACACCCTTTTTTTTATATATCACAGTCTGAAATGCCCTATGACAGTATGAGTATTGGCTATAGACTATATTTTAAAACATCAACTGTCTGTCTACAACTTGATTTCTCACCTCTCAATCGTTTCCAACTTTCTTTTCGTTCGTTTCTGCTACTACTTTCCACTCCGGCATAACTTATCATTGCTTCCCAGGTTCTTGTCGACTCTATGAATTTAGATTTAGACCAACCGACATTAGCAAATTGATTATTTTCTTCTCTTTCACACAACCGTGCATTACAGAAACAGCCATTAATTTCTATTCCAAAATATGCTGTGGCCTATACAGTAGTATAAGTCTGCTGAATAGTCAAGAAGAGTCATTAAATTAATCATAAACATTTCATGCAAGCCAGAAAATATCGTTGTTTGTGTCATATTATTCTAGGTCTAGCCTTCCTTGGAGTTACCGCACCGTAGCTATTTAACAACGTCTTATGAGCTAGTGCTCAACTAAAATTGCTATTTATGATAAGGATATACAAGTGTTTAATACCTTTTTTTTTTTTTTTTTTTAATAATATAATAAGTTAATTAGCCATGCATTTTCATCATAATAAGAATATTAATTTGATTAATGAATCATTCACCAATTCCATGTATAATTTTTTCATTCAACATGTATTCCATTTGAAGATCCAAGCCATTGGTTGTCATATTCCAACATATTTTTCACATATTCATAATTAATTTAGGTTCTTGTATTATTACAGTTAACATATATATACATGTAAAAAAAACAAGGAATAATTAGATCTGTATATTGTACAATACAATAGTAGATTTAGTCCATTAAAGCCTTTACAACGTTCTAAATAAAATGTTATACAGTTTTTGCATAACATTTTCGTACTTAGAGTCATTCCTTCGATTCTCTATATTTTTACGACCAACAATCGACATTTTAACTTTTTTGACAACTCTGTCCACATTAGGCATTACGTTTTGAAATACAGCTTCATTTCTTTCGAGTCATATTTTATGTCTGGTGATTGACATTACAAGGATTATACACTCCAACTCTTCAGCATTTTGATAAAATGCATATTCATTGAAATCAAGCATTAAACAAGTTCTGAAATCTTTCTTTAGTTTGTATTTTTTCAAATTTTCGAATAATATCTTACTGTTAATATCTTACTGTTTAATATCTTACTTATACTTTTCAACACCTCCTTAGAATAACTGAACTAATAATAACTGAGAAAAACTATGGAAAGGCTACTCAATGCAAAAGCGAGCAGTAGTAGTACATCTGATATTCATCCGACCACTGGGGATCCACCTACAGCTGACTAATTTGATTGTTGCGTCATGCAGAAGTCTGCGTTCATTGGCCCATGATACCGGAAAAGCAGAGAAAATAGGACAGATGGTAACACATATTTATTGTAGTAAAAGCGTCTTTTCTGTAAAACGTGCAACTTTTGGAAGTGGGAACAAGGCAATATTTGTTACTAAATTTCTAAGGAACATTTTAAAATCATTTTCAGGTAGTTACCTTATGTGCGCTACGAAACTGAAAGATAAATGGCCTCGGCTCGCGGCCTAAATGCAAAATTTTGCCGACGAGTCCTCACTACTACGTCATAAACGGGACATACTAATTTGCATTCGATTTCGGCAGGGTTGACTTTTGAAAATTCGAATCTCGCAAACGAAGTCCACTTTATGCAAACGGTAAACGACAAAAATCATAATAAATTATATAGAATCAGATTTGCTACAAAAAGGTTTGCGTGATAACCCACCTTTAAAATTCGATATTGGACTTGCAAAATCGTAATGACCATTAAAATCCGTAAAAATAAATACGTACAAGGAAGTAGGCGACATTATCGTTGTTCACTTACATACTAACGTCGGTAGATTACGTCAGGTTCAGCATCTTCAGATTTCGTTACCGGTACCGGTATCGTACGGCATCGCCAGATCATTAAATATACCGGTTGCGGATGGCAGGATAGTGCTCGTCCGTAAGATAGAAACTAAGCAACGAACTCATTTCATAACAAAAAGCTAGTCACATCTTTCTATGTCCAATCGCTAGGTACGGTACTTAGCTGTAGGCAAATGTCTTAACGACACCTCACTCGCCAGGAATTTCTTTTCGACGCTAATCAAAGATGAATTTGACAGGCGCTAATTTGACATCGAAGACCTCAAATATGTTTTTATCTGTTGCAACTTTGAGAAAGATCGTTCGCAACTAGCAATTGAGTACCGTATTTAATTTTGAGTAATAAACAATATACAATGCAAAAAGTTGAAAAAACTTCCCAGCCAAGCTTCTCTAATGAAGCAAGAAAATCTTTAGCATTTTTGGAAAATCTTCATTTCCACTTCGGAAAAGCGACGTAACTAACATTAGACGTTTTGGATGACGCAGTCAGGTGGGGGTTAGGATTACCATATGCAAAAACGGGTCTCATGTAGTTTCGTACCTAACATACTTCTGGTGGGCGTAGAATAACAATATTTGCATGTGTCAATTCTAACCCCCACCTGACTACGCCATCCAAAAATTACGTCTCTACGACGTCACAGTGACGTAATACAGTCCCTTAAACTCTACGAACTGTCATCCGAGACGAGCTCGTCTGCGCACTCGAAATCGAACGACTATTTCTCTCGTTTTTTCGTCACGACGATCCAATATGGGAGAGAACGCTGACGTTAGTAAGTTCTTTATCGTCGGCGCCGATGCCATTTCGGGTGATCGTACGTATATTTGGCAAGCTCTATGACGTGATTGTGATGTCGTAGTGACGTAATTTTTGGATGGCATAGTCAGGTGGGGGTTAGGATTGATATGTCAAAAAATTGTGATGCTACGCCCACTAGAAGTATGTTAGGTACGAAACTACACGAGACCCCCCTATGAACTGTCACCCTTTACGTATTTTGTTAAAATATCTGAATATAGTCTATTTGTTTTGCAGGATTTTCATGATGTAATACCGATACTATTAGTTTTAAATCATGAGTAATTTGCACTGTGAAATTTTACTGCTGAAATAAACAAAAGAACAACCATGGACTGCTTGGAAAATGAGAGTTCTTTTGGATGTTCCAGCAGCACTTTAGATTCACAGATGGACGGTGGGAATTCTATGTCTGATGAGATCAATCTTTCTATTGATCAAAACTTGCCTGATACCGGTACTTCTTCAAGAAGCAAACGAAAAGCTGCTGATCCTTCGTTAGGTTATGGATATCCCTATGTTCCTTTAGCAAAATATATTAGGGAGGATAATAGCGAGAAATTACCACAATCTGTGAAATCTGATATAAACTTTGGTCAAGGTGGAAATTATTTTATTTCTGTTGCTGAAAGAGATATTCTTGATAAAGATTTTGTAACAGATGTTGAAGCAACGCATCGACAAAGTCAAGTTTTTGTTTCGGCTGATGATGTATCGAACCAAAACAGAATGCTTGTAATTGAAGAAAGTAGTAAGGATGATTTGACTTTGTGTGCAATAAAAGGTGGAGATAAGGTTGGTGTACCAATACGTATTTCAATAAATAATGACATAAGTTTAGGAGTTCCGCCAGTGAATTTAAACAGCAGAACTTCACTTGATAATCAAACCCAAAACAATGATTCTGTTGACCACTCTTATCAAAGGTTTGAGTATACGTCAGATCCTGAGAATTCAGACCCTGTTCGAAATACTTGGGTGACAACAAAAGCAGATAAAGTGCAACTGCGAAATAGTGGTCATTCTTGGAAGACTGGAAAATGGACACAAGATGAAGTGGACCTCCTCGAAAGCAACATTGAAAAGTATTGTAAGGAGCATGGGATTGATGATGCGAAACAAATTATTTTTCATGGAAGTAAATATGATAGACCAAAGTTTTATCCTACGATTTCAGTGGGTTTAAATCGCCCTGTATTTGCCGTTTATCGTAGGGTGAAAAGAATGTATGATTCCCAAAATTACAGAGGAAAATATTCCGATGAAGAGATTAAAAAATTGAAAGATTTACATGCGAAACATGGTCGTGATTGGACTTTAATTGGCAATCAAATGGGCCGTAGTTCAGATTCTGTTAAAGATCGTTGCAGACTGGTCTTGGACAATGAGCACAGTTTAGGAAAATGGTCTGCAGAAGAAGAATTGAAACTTGCTCGAGCCGTTTATACATTAACAGGTGAAAAATATGGAACATCAGTCACAGCTAATATAGGCTGGACGACGGTTGCTGCATTAGTTGGTACCAGAACTGAAAAACAATGCCGTGCAAAATGGTTGAACTATTTGAATTGGAAAATGTGCAATGGGAAACGATGGACAAAAGCTGAAGATGCAACTCTGGTTGAAAGAATTGACGCACTCGGTGTTGAGGCAGAGGATGAAATTGATTGGAGAAAATTAAGTTCCGGATGGAAAAGTTCACGTTCGCCTCAATGGCTTAGAATTAAATGGTGGTCATTGAAACAAGTTTATCTACACGAGAACCCTAATATTAAAAACGTTAAATTGAAAGATTTATTGAATGGATTATCAAAGATTATTTCAAGACAACTTAATTCTTGGGATTCGAGTGACCACAAAGTTAAATTATATGTTCATCGGGATGGTTCTAAATTGTCAGATGATGACGGTAAAATTTCCGCTAAAATTAATCTCGATCAGCAATCGAAGGTTACCAACAAGCTGGGCGATAGAATAACTTTATACTCTGAAAATATTTCTTCACTTGCCACACAAAATAACTTAGTTTATGTCACCGATACTAATAATGATATTCAGAGTCGGGTTGTTCTTGACAAAGATTCGAATGGAAACTTGGTGATGTCACATCTCTCGACCTCAAACGATACGTTTAACGAGGTGCAAGTTCAGGCTTCAGAAGAAGATGAGAAGAAAATTGCAGATGGTTATCTTGCTAAACCATTACAAACTGAAACTATCTCTGCAGAAGAGAGTTTAGATGTGAACACTACACTTCAGTTGACGCCTACATCTGCTGCAGGTGTTTATCTCGTTCAAAATTCTGATTCCAACAATCCTTTAGTATTATTTATGTCTGATGATGTAAATAGTGTCGACTTCACACCGGAAATGTTGTCATATATTAACCACGCATCAAGAAACGATGTTACATCATCAACTGATGATGTAAGAAATAACATGGATGAGGGGGATGGAGTAGCCTCACCGAGTGATATGACATCACCACGCCATGATGATGTCATCACCACATCAGATGTTTTAGTTTATCAAGAAACAAGTAATGATGAAGACAATAAAAATCCTATTTTAGGAAGCGCTATACATGAAGTAGTCGGAAATGACACCGATGTTGAAAATTGTTTTATTCAAAGTTCATCCCCTTTGCAAGGTACTTTGTTAGAAGGCACTGACCTCGTAGACCCAATGTCTGATTCAACACCATCTGGAAAATGTAATATGAATAATAAAGGTCAACAAGGCCAGACTGATGTGATTATTTTGTGATGTGAGTTGATAAAATTGCCTACAATGGTATAATTTTTAGGAAACACCATACTGCACATATTTTTCGCTTTTCTTCATATTTTTTTCAACTCGAGATGAACTTTTTGGTTTTGATAATTTTTTACAGATGAGTACAATTCCAACTGAAGCATAAAAACTTTTTGTTTTAATAGATACAATCTAGTTATACAATCGCTTATTCCAGCAAAATTTCTATACACATTGTGTAAACTAAGACTTTCTGAAATACAATTTCGACTGAGTACCGCACAATGTCTTTTCTTTTAGGGACTCTAATAGATCTGCTAATTGATGACCATTCTTTCATAGTGTATTTCATTTCAAGTTTCCAACACATCTAGCATTTTTCATAAATTTTGTGGGATAAATTGACCTAAAAAAACTGTATTAACATTGCGGAAACTTTTCCTTTAGTTGTGAAATTCCTCGATGTTTCTTTATTGTGTTGCTGGATCATTGGTTCATGTCGAATGCTATCCAAATCTGCCCTTGTCTGGTCTGGTTTTAGACATTCCATGGCATGCACTGCAATCTTACTGTGAATGAATTGGTGGTATATTCAGTCATCAATGATGGTTATATTTTGATGTGTGTCGTTTTATTTCAAGGAGTAGCATTGGTGTGAATTTTGGCATGTGGTTTGAACTGTACTTTTCAACAGAAACTTGGTTATGGTATAATGCCCGTGATGAAGATACGGAATGTTTTGTTATGCATCTTGAAATGTTATTTTAGTTTTTAAAAGCAACCTGTTAAAAGTTTTAAGAAGACATTTCATGATCCAGGGGGTGGCTTGCAAATTTGGCAAGTCGTTTTAGTTGGGAATTTTGAAAATGCCTATAGTGATCTTTCCAGTTATGCCAACTTCTATTCACTACACAACCAAGTGCACACTTTATTGTGTGATAGAAAATATGGGTTGAGATCATTCTATGATATTAATTGTTTCATCTTGATTGCAATTATTATTAAAACTAACACGTATTTGACTTTTATTTTTCATATTTTTTCTTTTTGATTGATGAAATTTTTATTTATATATTTGTGAATTTGTCATTGTGCTGTATACATAATATGAATTGCATTATCTTTCACTCTAGTGTGTGAGCAATATCTCCTAATGTGCAGGTCATTTACTTGATGATGCACTATGATGCCTTACCAATGATTAGAGGCAATATATTGACACAGACTACAGGCAATTCAACAATACAAAATCTGATATACAATTCATTGCTCATTCTAGTCGCAATTTTTTTTAAAATCTAGGCTCAATATACCCTACTTTCAGAATCATAATTGGGGTGTCCATGAAATCTATCTCATCAAAAAAAGAGTATTCAAAAATTTGATGTTTCAAGTTACTACTTTATTCCCTTTAGCATCCATTTTCGGAATACTGTACCTATTTGAATATAGACATTTAATAAAACAAGACCCTCAAAATAATACTGTTCAAATTTCAAAATAAACTGCTGTAATCCTGGAAGTCTTGCTTATAGGTGCGATTCTTTCTTCTGAGTGAGTGTACTCACTATATGTTGTCATAAAAATTTATCGAAGAGCTAATTCAAATAGTATATGAATATTGAGCAGGCCTATATAAATTAATGTTTCACAGCACTTTATCTAATACAGGCTTACAGCAGCATTGTTGTTTGAATTTCACTGCCTGCGCATTTTTTGTTGCTTCTCTGCCATTTATATTGACTTTGAGCAAAGAATGTTGTCATTTGTATTAAATTTTGCATTTGATTTTATCCTATTTCTTTGATATTTGCTACATGAATCAATATATTTATTCAGTTTTCTGATACACCTAAGATAAATTTCGTTATAAAGTTGAAATAGTTAACCTTTTCACTCTTATTATTGACATTGGATAGATTAATGTCAAAGCATATTTTCGCAAAGTGTTGTCTTACGTTAACGACATTCGGATGCATCCATATAAAAAATTCACACTTTCACATTCAATTTCAAAAATTCACCTATCAGCCATATTATAGTGAAGTCCCATTATTTTGAATATCAATTTAAGAGTATGAACATATTTGCACTGTTATTGTGTATTAGAAATTGCTGGTTTTGTCACAATTGGTATATTTTAACTGTACTAGTAAAATGAAAAACTTTTCATTAATCCCTCAAGCTTTTGAATATACTAGAATATAGTAATTTTATGTTGCATTGTAGCATCATTCGCATTGCCCCAAGACTCACACCCAGTCTCTTCCCCAGTTCTGCTGTTTTGACCCATTGCTTCATAATTGTTGTTGCTATCTATTTGCACCCAGAGTATTTTATGTTGTGTCAAATTATACATTTTTGTCATTTATATGTTAGAATACAAGCTCCTGTTTCTCATCCATATTTATAACTTAAATTAACTTAATTAAAAATAGAAGTTTCATACATTTCTCATGGCTGGTATACCTCCTGCATCATGGCAACCTCGCCAAGTAGCAATGGAGACTTCGTAAGTATTGCTTTTGACTCATGTCAGTCGTAGTTTTTGTATTCATCTTGCACTGACTGAACCTACACAGTCTATTTAGAATACGACTGTAATCTACTTTTTCTATTTTCTGGGATGTTTGCAGACAAAAAAATTCTACACCCAAAGTTTTTTTTCACAAACTCCAGTTATGTTAAATTCACTACCTCTTAACTGTCATTGATGTAAACTACTTCAGGTATCGCGTCAATTAACAATGCAATCCTAAGAGTCAGCAGCTCTTGGCATTCATATGATAGCTTTGCTCTGGGATCATTCTTATGAGTAAGTTTTTATGACCTTGCTGTGCAAGAAAATATTCTTAAAAAAATAAACAATTTGGTTTCCTTTCAAGCTGTTTTGCCACACTTGCAACTTGCAAAATTGTTTTGAGAATCTATATCTCTCGATTTCCGAATTGTTTTTAATCAAACTCACTATTTTATGATTTACTGTGATGTTTTTCGCAATTTACTGCTACAATTAGTAAAGATAGTTGCCAAGGTATGTAATAAGTCTGCATTTTATGGCTGTGTTTTCAATAAATTTTGTCATATTGTGATAAGAATGACAAATTTATTTGGTACTAAACTTATTCGATTCATTAGCTGTTAATATTATATAATGTTCATCAATGAATTTATACTTGTTCAACTTCCTGTTTCAAATTTCTTAACAGTTCAGGAACCATTGTGATTCAATTATACTGGAAACACGCACCCAGGACTTGCACAAATTTTGCCGAACTTGCAAGAAGAGGTTACTATGACAACACCAAATTTCACAGAATTATCAAAAATTTTATGATACAAGGCGGAGATCCTACTGCCACTGGTAAGGAGATACCGAAACCATTATTGTTCTCCAGCTGACTCGATTATTCGGTACTCCTGAAGTATGCGCACCGAAATGTCGCATAACCTGAACCCTGACCTGATACACAACCTGAGTTCAGGTTGTGCGCCATCTTGGTGCGCATACTTCAGGAGGTCCGATTTTTTTGATTATTTAATATAGCATTGTTGGCATCAAGAAGTTTTCATGTCCAAATACCGTGTTTCCCGAAAATAAGACCGGGTCTTACTTCAGTTTTCTTTAAAAAAAATAACACTAGGGCTTATTTTCAGGAGGTGTCTATAATTTTCTTTTATAGAAAACAAAATTACAAAGTAGAGAATTATGAGATTTTCAAATATACAAAATAGGAAAATCGATATCCATTTAATTAAATAACACGTTTTCCACTCTCACACATGTTTTAGATTAATTACTTAAAACATGTAGGAGAGATTTATTACTATCGACTAGGTCACAAAAGTTTCGCGCTATTGACTACGTCTTATTTCAAGGGGAGGGCTTATATTAAAATCATTCTTAAAATTCAGGCTTGGGCCTTATTTTTGAGAAACACGATAGGTTGGTTATGAGTTGGGTTGTGCGAGACGAACTTCCTATCCTTTCTCTATGAGTTTATGATAGTTAATGCTGTAGCAGGAATAAAAATGACTTAAATTATGCAATTCAAGAGTCCTGCTGCACATTAACACAAATGTATTTATGTAACGTTTTGTCCCACATCTTACTGGAACCACGAAGCAGCGACCTCTTGATGTCCGCCTAATTATACTGTATATAAATCAGCATAAATCACTCATTGTAGTAAACTAGCAGAACAGAAAAACAGTAATTCGACCAAGTATCCAAGATAAGTATTCGCAGATAAGTCCTCTTGGGAAGAGAATATTTGCAGGCAATTATTGAAACAGGAGATTCCCAAACTTTTATCAACCAGCAACAACAGTCTATTGCAGGGATGGGAAAGGTTTTGGACCAGCGACCAAAATTATACCAACCTCGACTGGCCATGAAAGTGTGATGAAAAAAGTTACATTTTATGAACAATATTTACAGTCTTACAAAAACAAAAGTGGAAAAGAATAAGCCTCGTGCCAAAACTAAATTTAATCACAATCTCAACAAATTCTGTGAGCTATTTTTCAGTTGAAACATTGAAATTTGGTTCTTGTTTGGTTGTGGCAGCATCAGGCGGGCCAAATTGAGTTACCCAACGAGTCAGATTTGGCCCACTGGTCCACTATTGGAATCTGAACCAATTTAGATGCTGACTTATGCAATGGTTCTAAATTACAACTTTGTATCATGAAACTGTAATTCCAATGTCATTGTTGATCCAGGTCGGGGTGGGGCTTCAATTTACGGACCTCAGTTCGCAGATGAAATTCATAAAGAACTCAAACATGCAGGAGCAGGAATATTATCAATGGCAAACTCAGGACCTGATACAAATGGAAGCCAATTTTTTATCACACTTGCTCCAACTCAGTGGTTGGATGGTAAGTTGTATTTATTGTGTGTTCACAACAATGAATTTAAGGAGGATTGACATTTCAACCACTAACCGGATAGGTTATGTCCACCCATGCAAGTTGAAGCCAACTTTGGCATTATTCATGTATGATGAAATCTCATATAATTTCGCAAGAATAAGATTTCTGAAAGCCAGCCACACCTCAATTGAACTATTTGGAAAAAGTAACACATGTTGGGAATCTAGGCCATATCTCATTTCAGGTGTTTTCAGTTTCAATTCAGACAAACAAATAGCGAAAGAAAACGAAATCATTGCTTTGATTTTTACATGATCAGGACTTGGGCCAGTCATGTTAAAATATCTTTTAAATAACCACAATATTTTTGCCAAAATCCTGTGTGAAGTTATTAAGAAATAATATGCTGTTTTATATCCAATTTCGCAGGTAAACATGCCATATTTGGTCGTGTTTGCAAAGGAATGCCGATTGTCGCAAACTTGGGAATGGTGGAAACTAATAATCAAGATCGACCGACGGAGGATGTTTTTATTAAAAAGGCATATCCTGTAGACTGATCAAAAATGAAAAATGAGCCACAAAATCTAGGCAGATCTTGGATCTATGCGTGCTGTTCATTCTCGTAACTTGCAAACAATCTCAATGTAACTGTGATGACAGTACAGTACAGGGACGATAGAACATTTCGCTCACAATCCTGTGTGTAAGTTCAAATCCTGATGGTAGTTTTCTACAATCATATTTTTTGTCTCTGCACTGTTTTATAATAAAATCTCCACCAAAGCTTTTGGGTTTAAATTACGATAGTTTAGGCTAGTTGGAACTGAAAAATAGGAGGCCAAGCCAAACAGAATCTATTATAGTAAAGACCGGGATGGAAGTATAGGAATTTCTTAAGACTAAGTTTGCGGTATACAGACTCGTAGGACCACAGGATGGTAGGTGGTTTTAGGTTAGGGTTCTGCTCGTCTCGTATTTGAAGTTCGCCGTCATGGTACTGAAATATGTCGCTACAGTGTTGAATGTATGCCCAAGCGTCCTATCAATTCACTGTATATTATTATTAAGCAACTTAAAATCGAAACTCGTTACCTGGACCGCCTAATGTTACCTCATTGTTCGATAGGTTTGTAAACAACCTTTCTCAGTACATAGTATTCACAGTGCAATTTGAATAGTAGAGAAACAACACTGTCAAAATGGTCTTAGCGAGTCAGTGACCATGACGCTAAGCAATTAAACTACAGCCTTGGTGGAAGTCCCTTATGTTAGGAGCTGAGTATGTGTCCGCATTCTGATGAAAAGCCTGAAACGTTACCTCATGAACCATGGTTTGATAGGTGTAAACCTTTCTCTGTATTTAAGGTGAAATATGTGTTGTAGAAGAACAATATGGTTTCAGCAAATCAGTGACTAATCAAATAAACTTCACGGAAGTCCCTTGATTTGGGAGCCGGGTATGTGCCTGCATAAACTGCATTTTTCAGTAATCACGCATAATTGGTTTGTACACTGGAACCTTGATTTCTAAAACGCAAATAGTCTGAACTTGTCGGACCAAGAAGGTTCGACAAAGTCTTGTTATAGACTAGAGGAGAGCACACACAATAATGATTGAAACATGTAGAAAACAAATATTTTATTGATTCAGAATGTTGTGAAAACAATATCCAAAACATTGCAATTTATTGCATGAAAAAATAAAACATTACATGCAACACAATTACATGGAAACGAAAAACTGAATGTGCATTTAATTTGGTGATGCAACTATTTAGAGAAATAACGAGTGAGTGAATAACGGGCTGAAAGAAGCCTAAAGAAAATGGAAACAATTTTAATAGACATTTCCAATTAGACTACTGAAAATTTGAAAGCATCTTGCCAGTAGTTGAAAGATGATGATTCTTTGTCCCCAGACAAACATGACTACTCATTAGCAAAAGCGATTCATAGGTCTAAGTCGTGACCCAAAACATCTATGCTGAGAATTCGCTTTGAAACAAGTTTTTCACACGCAAGAATAACAAATACTTAGTAATTAGACGAATGATTTTGTGATCTATTAGAACGGGGTGGCAGCCATTGAGCATTGTTTTGACTGTTCGATCCTGGGGGTTGTTGGTTTGCTGTTGAAGTGTATGTTACAGACTGCTGTGCTTGGGGAGGGGGTTGATTGTAATTGATGATATTTTGTTGATCATCCTGAATTTGAATTGTTATTAGATTGCTGCTTGGACGAGTAAGCATGTCCATAGGCTGAGATGATGGGATTGTTTGATCGGCAGGCTGAGGAATAATTGATGGAGGGGGCTGATTTGTAGAAACATTCGGCATTAGGACATAGGGGGAAGGAACTGGCGGAAGGTTTTGGAGCGGGATTGTAGATACTGGAGGAGGTGGCACCAGTATCCCTCCTGCTGTCAATGGTGGCATAGGAACAGTAGGTAAAGTTGGTGGAGGAGGCGGCTTGTCATGGCGGTGATTTATGTGAGCTTGTAAATCTCTTTGTGATAAGTATGTTCTGCTGCAGTTTGAAACACCACACATCCAAACTGTGCCATGACGACATTGTTCAATACGATGAACTTCATCTCCACATCTATAATGAAAATAAATGGTTCAATAGTGGTTGAAATATACGGACCTATAAAACTGTTAAATTAGTGAAGATAAAATAAGTAAATCTTCTTGCGACATCTTCCATCTTTTTCAGGCACATTGAAGTCAGTTGCAGACAACAGCAATATTATCCAGCAACAAAAATCATAACAGCGAACAGAATTTGGCAATTAGAATCCCAGGTCCACTTCGTGCTCAGAAGGATGGAAAAAATTAATAGCGGTAACCGGTAATTAGCAAATATGTGTTAGCGAACCGATCAGGTAGCTCCACCAATCTTGCCACTCGCAAAAAACGATCTGATGCATTGTTACTGATCGTTAAAAATAGTATAGAATAGTTAGCAAGCACAGAATTGCAACCATTCTTTTTAAAAATGAATCCATCTGGGCTTAATGGTGCTATTACAACAAATGTTCAAACATCTAACCCACCTTGGACAATTCTTGTCTGTCTTTTTTGCACATTTGAAGCAGAAAACATGTTTGCAAGGAATCTAAAAATAATGGTTATATAAAGAATAATGGTGATGAATTGAGGTTTGGAAAACTCCATTTCTATGAAGCACCAACTAATTTACAGAAGTACTTTACTGGAAAATATCCAACATAAAGGCCTAATTATATGATAAACCATGATATCATGTCGAATTACCAGTTCGGGACTAGTTTTCCGATTCAATTAATACCAAAGCACGGTTCAAAATACCCTATCCACATTTTCATATCTTCTATAACTCTCCATATTGAGTTACAAATCCGCTGGTCAATTCATATAACAAGGGCGATATCCTTACCAATCGTCCATAACTTCTTATGGGCAGTCTGCATGTATCACAGAGATGTATCATTGGATTAGGATCTTTCTGCCCAATAAGATTGATCTGAAAATATATAAAGTCATTTCATTCAATTTTAAATTTTATGTATAATTATTGTTATTTCTGAGTTTTTTAAGTGAAAATTTATATGAAATACTGCATTTTGAATTGTCAAGAACATTTTAGAATCCATCATCTGAGAATCATGAAACCGATATTAAAAAACACACCAATTCAGCTATGACATATACATTGTAATAAACCAATAATAATGCATAGATGAATACTCAAAGCAAACCTCAACATCCCATATTGAATCGGAATTATCTCTGTACTGGTTATTCCCACCACGATTTCTTTCTTGTCGTTCATTGTAGCGATCTTTGTCACGAAAATTTTGACCTGTAAAATTTACAATGGTGCCAAGTGAAAAGAAATGAACTTATTTTAATTGAAAGATTTTAGTTCAAAATCAACTGTGGAGAATACTGATATCCGTTTCCTGGATCAAAGGTCAGCAAACAAATATTAGGCACTTCAAATTTACTAAGCCCATATTGTCCAGATTAATTCTTTTGAGTTCCAATAGATTTTGAGTTTGCTTCGTAAATTCAATTTGAGGTCCTTATATTATATCACAAACCTGATCTCCAATCATCCCTTTGGTTTCCCATGTTGTGTTTCTTGTAACGAGGATGGTAATCAGAAGACCCATAATGTGTATCGTGCCTTCGTTTTTTATGCCCAACGTCGTCCATGACCAATAATTTTATTATATTTTTGACTGAATACAAAGATATAAAATAATATTTTCAGTGACTTAATTCAAATAAAAATTCTACCAAATATATAATAAATCTAAAGTACCATTTTTATTTTTCCTCCACCAGAAAATCAAAACATCCCATCGAGTTGTTTTCTGGACAAGGTAAAAATGAACCAAGTAGATAACACCAAAAATCATGTATTCAAGTTTTTCATTATCTAAATCTACAGGCGGTCCTAAAATATTCATTGCAAATGTATTTGTGATAAAAAAGGCAGTGAAGAGTTGGGAGCATTTATGCCAAATATGGAATAAAACAGTAAAATTTCACATATAAAAGAAACAACAACGGTGACCCCTGAATTAGCAAATATGGAACTTAACAAAAGCAGCAAAAAGTGCGGTAAAATTCTCGAAACAGAAATAAAAATGTGAACCAAGTGTTTGCGATCTTTTAAAACAACAAGACAGCAATACTCTGAATAAAAAAAATCCTGAAAAACTCAATCCAAGTTAAAATAAACATCAGAACAAGTACAAACACCAAAAATGCAGTGTAACAAATAAATCATTTTTGCAATTTCAAAATTTTACCTTATTTTATTCATACGGAGAATAAATATTAATACCCGAACTGTATTATTTTTTGCAAAAAAAAATGAAGCATGTTGTATGCAAAGAAGTCCGGAACCATCCCTTATACAGAGTGAACTTATGATTTGGATTCAGGATTTGAATCAGTTACCCTCTGCGAAGAAAGAAGCTACTGAAATACACAAATCAAGACTCGTCTTGATGACACATGAAATAAAGATTACATACTTTGTTTCTTTCTAGGATTCATACAAATTTAAATTCTATTACTTCTAACTTTTTTTTATCTATACTACGAGCAGCTTTTGGTTCAAGCAATATTTTATCCGGCAAAGCTATGATAAATATTTTCTAATCATCTGCATCAAGAAGCAATTATTGATTGGTAATCCAACTTCTTTTTTATTATTGACATAGCTATGAATTTATGAATGTGGTACTAAAATGATTGTGGCACGCAGCTACATTTTTAGTTGAGAATGGAACTATATAGTGTATGAGTAAGGAGTGCTACACACAAGAATCAATGTGTATCAATAAAAACTCATGTTCCTCTACCCCATATACTTTCCCACAATTTGGACATTTTAATTCTTCAGCAGCATGATGATGTCCAAACTCACTATAAGTTTGATTTAATTTTTTATTTTGCTTCAATTTTCCGGTTCTGTCTTCCCTTTTTGTCGTTGACCTTTCTTTGTGTGGTCTCTCATGTCTAGAAGAATATGGTAAAGGTTCTGCAGGATAAGATTTTCGTTCTTTATGCATCCTACTTTGCGATTTTTCATGACTGATTGTAATTTTTTTAACTTTAGGTGGAGAAACGTGACAATTTCGTGCAGCATCATGAGATGTATTAGGAATGTATGTTCTATCACGTTCATACTCCATCAAATGATCAGATCTTTTCTTTTGGGAGGAAATTTCTGAATCTCTAAATTTCCTTTGAAGGCCATTTAATCTTCTTTCAATATCTTCTCTCCTCTGGCGTTCTAGTTTGAAGTCTTCCCTACATTTTCCCATTTCCATTTTCAGTATTGATATTTCATCCAAGTTTTCTTTGTTGTAACTATCGTAATTCTGTTTTTTGTGTCTTTCCATTTCCTTTTGTAAACTCATATTTGCATTTCTTTCTCGATCATATTTGACTCTCCAATGTTCTAATTCCCTTCTTAGCTTGAGTTTTTCATCTTCAAATTTCTTGCTAGCTATTTCCAACTCTTGTTTCCATTTTGTCGCTTCGTCACGACTCACTTGTAGATGCTGCCGTGCTTCCACTAGCAGACCATCATAATATTTTCGTTGCTGCTCAGATAACTGATTTGGATTGTCTGTTAATGAAGCAATTCTTTCATGCATATGATGACATTGGTGTTGCAAAGTATTATACTTTTCATGCAAACTTCGTACATAATCTTCCCTTTGCTCATTGTATACTTGCCATTGAGTATTCTTCTCTAATAAATCTTGCAAATCTTTTTTTAATGTTTGAATTTCATCGACTTTCATCAAATCAGCATCTTTTTGTTGTGAATTATCATTCACATTATTTGAATTTTTAAAACCTTCTTGAAGATTTTTTCGATATCTTAAAATTTCCTCATTCATTTTAATCACCTTTGCTGCATCTTCACTCTTTGTTTGTCTTGGCGTTTTCTGCTTTCTGACAGTGATTCCATTTGCATTACCTGGGAGTGGTGAACATGAAGCATTCCTGGGTGTGGGGATCGGAGGTGCAGGTTTCTTTGGTTGTTTGCTAACGTCCAAAGGCGTGTTCGAATTACGTTGAGACATTTTCAATATCCAATACAAGTGGTCTTTAATATTACATATACATTTCTAAAAAAAAAATATTGCTATTGATAAAGTATTACACTGGGAACAAATTGTATTTGATCACATAGGAATAACTTGTTCTAAAGCGTTGCATATATGGATTGAATAGAAATATTTCATAATTGTTAACTGTTAAATAAATATTTGCAACACAAAGGGCCAATAAAATCAAAATTGTTACAGGCTCAATGAAATATACTTTGAGCCAAAATCTAGCATATAACCAAATGATCTCATTTGCAATATTACAGCAAACAGTAGAGTTACAATAGCTCTAATGTGGAGAATGTCACCTTTTTTTACCTGACAAATAACCTCCCACAAGCATTTTGCAGCAACAGGAAAATTGCATACATGGTAATTAGCAATAGCAAAATTGTACTTAGATTCGATAGGGTTACTGGGACCAGTTATTAGTATCCTATTAGCATAATCCTCTATCATTTTTTGAGTTTGGCTCCATTTATCAATAGATACAGCTTTGATAACAAGATTCAACAATTTATAAATGTATTGTTTATTGACAGTCGGGTGTGATCGCACTTTTTTCCAAAAGAAATTTGAACTGTGGTTTAATTCATGTTTTAATTCCAGCATTAATGTATCATAAAATATTTGAAAAACTTGCAGTCGTTCAACACAAAAGCGAACATTAACGCTGTTTATTACTTGTTGGCCATCGCCTGGACATATCAACAATGCCAAGGCATCTATGAGAGAAATGAAAAGTGCATTTATACTGACAGATAGCAAAGGGTGGGAAAGATTGAAATTAAACGTGTGAAGAAATGAAATAACCAAGGGAAAAATATCCATGATCTTTCCATTCGATATTTGTTCTTGATAATAATCAAGAAGAATAAGTTCTTTTCTTAAAGCGGTACTTTGTAAAGTAATGTCACTTATAACAACATGCGGTGCTTCTGAGAATGCTGTGTTAAATGCTTTGATATCAAATACTTTCAAGTTTTGGCTCTCTAAAGTCAACATTAAGGTGAGAGCATATTGGTAATGCTTGACGCAGACTACCAAATTTTCAGGACGACGGCAAATTTCAATCACTCTGTTTAGAACTTCTGGTCTTTTGGCTTCAGGCATAAAATGTTTGGCTATTATAGTATAGCACAAAGCAGCATCAGGGCATACTAAAGCCCCACCGGCATGTGCGACATCAACCAATTGCATCTGCGACTCCTGTATTATTCTGGACCTCTCTAATGTCATAAAGGCATCCCCCCACCAGTCATTCTTCATTTGAGTCCTAAAAACAAACGACATGAATATCAATACCGCCACCTTGGGAACACCTCTCATTTGCATCACAGAATCGGATAATTTGCTCAATATATCTTTGCCTTGCACGTCTTTCTTCAAGTCAATATAAAATAAAGCAGAACCAAATTGAAAAAGCAACTGTGAAACATCATCCTCATGCTTTGAAATTTCTCCCAAGCAAAAATTAAGCATTTCATTTGGCTTTTTTAATAATCTCATAGCTGAGAATTGCCTCAATCGTAAATAGAAAGTGATGCCTTTATCTTTTACAGTACCTTTTTTAAACCACTTTTCCACAAGAGTTAGAACTTCTTCATAACGTTCAGAATCAAAATATATTTCCAGTAACATGGTACAAATGAGGAAAGATTCTGAACTATCTTCATCTATTGCTAATAAACACTCAATCTCTTTTTCAGCCTTGCTGAAATAATTTACATCCTCAGACCTATCGTGAAGTTGGTAGTACGTAATGACAAGTGGAAGAAGTACACCAGCATAGGGAAACCTATCTTTCCATGGATCTTCATCAAGCAAAGATTTCTCCAGTTCAAATTTAACCCGGGCTTCTTCAAGAAAACCTAATGATAAAAGCGACAGTGAAGAGCCATCAAATGCACCCGGACATGGAGAAGGTCCAGGAAAAACATGGGTCAGTAATTCACCTTTTATATAACGTTTTTCCAAATTCACTATCGAATCTGCAAGATGCAAAATAATTGATATACAATTGATGGCACAATTTTTACCGATATAATTTAGAATATTTTCTGATGATTTTCGATTTCCTTCACAATGACTGTAAAGCTTCAATCTTGCTTCACAAGCAACAGCAAAGCCATACATGGTTGGATGATGATACGTCTCATTGAATTTTGATTTTACGATAATTTCAAAACTGGATTCTTCTTTCAACTTAAAAAATCGAGCCCAGTAACCCAACAACACTGCAAACGGTCTGTAAAAATAGACTTTGCTATCTAATTCATTTGATGCGCTGATATGTGTTCGAATTTTAGATTTGACACCTTGGTTGACATTCTCTCTTACATGCTTAAGAATATCAGTAGCAATTTCTTGTTTTGGTTGGCCATCTAAGATATGTCTGGATTTTTCCTTAAAATTCAAATACAACTCTTCGTTACCAAATACAAAACAAGTACGAGACAATACATCTTTCAAATAGTAACCATTTTTGATGTCTTCATCCGATGTTAAATATGAAGCCATTTTACTGACAGGCTGAATCAGTTCAACTTTGTGCTTGTGATTTTTTGTTGGTTCTTGTCTACCTAGTGGTGTATTGCATGAATGAGGAACCATACCATCAAATGCAATACCACTTGGTGTGAACATATCATAAAACCAGTTTTTGCTTTTGTCTTCTGAATACAAATCGTTGATACTCTTCACGCCAACACTTCTGATTATAGTCTCCCCCAAACCAATTATAATAATCTCAAATATCACAGCAAACCATCTGAAGTATTCCCTCACTGTATCATAATTTGGAGAATCATCAATACCGTCTTCAAGAATTATTACATGTTCAAAATCAGAATATAAAGTTATTTCCTCGCGAGCTAAAGATCCCAAACCGACTATAGCAAAAGGACAGAGAGAATTGCCAAGTATCCGTAGGCAATATTCAGCAATATAATTCATCAAACTTATATAATTCTTTGTGTTCTTTTTCATTAAATCTTTTATCACTTCAATTTTAATTAATTGTTGTTGGTGACATTCATTCTCTGGAAGATTTTCATCAATGATTCTCAAACTGTTTAAATCTTGCTTTTCAGCTTCTCTCAAATATTTAAATTTTCCAGCAACAACAGAAGAAATTTCAAACAGACTCTTATCACACTTATTTCCTTTGCAAGCTACAAATAAAATGTCATCCAAAGAAACCATGAGGTCATGAACCTTCTTCTTTCCTTTTATATCATATAATATTCTTTCATATCGAACTCTGGCACCGTGTAATAAAGCAGAACATTTTATAAAATCAAGTTTTTGTTTCATTCCTGTTGATGACTTTGCTTTTTCAAGATATAACTTGCCCATTTCAAACAAAATATTAGTTGATTCCTTTAGTTTTGATCGCCTTTCATCACCGAAGGGTGTACAAACTGCCTTCAACTGTTCGGCTAAATCTTTCTCTTTTTGAGATATTTCATCTTCTGTTTCCATTTTCAAACTAATCGTTATTTAGTAACTCGTATATTTTACATAAGAAATACTATTGGTACACCTTGAGAAAAAAAATTAACGTAAAATGCAAATTAGGTGATAATTACTCTTAATATTATATATTCTCTTCTGTAGCAATGAATTGGCAAAATACTAACATATGGAAATAAAAAAAGTGGTAAGTACATATGACACATTATATGAAACTTTTGCATATCAACATCAATAGAATAAAACATTCCATAGTCACCTAAAATAGATTAGAGATTAGGAAATAGCATAAAACATTCCATAATCATGTGAAATAGATTGAAAATAGTGATAAGAGGAGTAATGGCCCTTTCTGTAGGGTTATTGGACTGTGACGAGACACAGGTTTTATTTTAGTACAAGTTTTTACCACTTTAGTGGAAATTGTGTTAAACACTTGTTGTACAACATATCTAAATGAAGAACAAGCTCGAAAATATTGGCAATTATTCAAACTGGAAATTGTGTTAAACACTTGTTGCGCTAAGACATATTTAAATGAAAAGCAAGCTGCAAAATATTGGCAATTATTCAAACTGGAAATTGTGTTAAACACTTGTTGCGCTAAAACATATTTAAATGAAAAGCAAGCTGCAAAATATTGGCAATTATTCAAACTGGAAATTGTGTTAAACACTTGTTGCGCTAAGACATATTTAAATGAAAAGCAAGCTGCAAAATATTGGCAATTATTCAAACTGGAAATTGTGTTAAACACTTGTTGCGCTAAGACATATTTAAATGAAAAGCAAGCTGCAAAATATTGGCAATTATTCAAACTGGAAATTGTGTTAAACACTTGTAGCGCTAAAACATATTTAAATGAAAAGTAAGCTCGAGAATATTGGCAATTATTCAAACTGGAAATTGTGTTGAACACTTGTTGCGCTAAGACATATTTAAATGAAAAGCAAGCTGCAAAATATTGGCAATTATTCAAACTGGAAATTGTGTTAAACACTTGTAGCGCTAAAACATATTTAAATGAAAAGCAAGCTCGAGAATATTGGCAATTATTCAAACTGGAAATTGTGTTGAACACTTGTTGCGCTAAGACATATTTAAATGAAAAGTAAGCTCGAGAATATTGGCAATTATTCAAACTGGAAATTGTGTTAAACACTTGTAGCGCTAAAACATATTTAAATGAAAAGCAAGCTCGAAAATATTGGCAATTATTCAAACTGGAAATTGTGTTAAACACTTGTAGCGCTAAAACATATTTAAATGAAAAGCAAGCTCGAAAATATTGGCAATTATTCAAACTGGAAATTGTGTTAAACACTTGTTGCGCTAAGACCTATTTAAATGAAAAGCAAGCTGCAAAATATTGGCAATTATTCAAACTGGAAATTGTGTTAAACACTTGTTGCGCTAAAACATATTTAAATGAAAAGTAAGCTCGAAAATATTGGCAATTATACAAACTGGAAATTGTGTTAAACACTTGTTGTACAACATATTTAAATGAAAAGCAAGCTGCAAAATATTGGCAATTATTCAAACTGGAAATTGTGTTAAACACTTGTTGCGCTAAGACATATTTAAATGAAAAGCAAGCTGCAAAATATTGGCAATTATTCAAACTGGAAATTGTGTTAAACACTTGTAGCGCTAAAACATATTTAAATGAAAAGTAAGCTCGAGAATATTGGCAATTATTCAAACTGGAAATTGTGTTGAACACTTGTTGCGCTAAGACATATATAAATGAAAAGTAAGCTCGAAAATATTGGCAATTATACATACAGGTACTCTTCAATAAAAAATGATTTTCCATATTTACAGTGAAGAATATATAGAACAGCATACTGTATTTCTCCAGGACATCAGAGAAAATCTTTCATAAGCATAGCTAAAATGTTCATTAGAAAAAGTGCACTTAACAGAATATATTCCACAGTTATCCACCAAGAAAACAACAAAAATGATGAAATGGAAGCTCCAGGGGCGGCAGCTAAGAGAAACATAGCCATCCCACAGTCATATGTATGATTGTCGCACTGTAGTGTGCCAAGTATACACACTAATTATAACATGTCCTTCCATATTTAAAGAGAAGAATATGGAAAAACAACAGACTTTGAATTCCACTGGAATTCCGAATATCATTAAATAGATTAGTTAGTATATGTCTATCAGGCAAAAGTAAATGTACCGTATATCCTCACTCAAACAGCCCTAGACAGCAAATTTGTGAAAATTCGCATATAAGCCGACCCTACAAATCGTATAATGCCATATCAAAGCCAGAGATGTTCAATTTGAATTTAATATTCAATATCGCAATTCACTACCTTCAGAATATCATTTTTAGTGATTATATTAATCTCGAACAAAGCCCACACAGCCTGGCACCCACCTTCCAAACATTTTTTGATTATTATATTTAATGTTTTAATGAATTTTTTGATTGAAAATATTTTACAATTATTATTGTATAACCTATTTTAACATAGTCGAGATATCCTGGGCGACCACAGCAAAAAATCTAGAAGCAAATTGTGTCCTAATTGTCTTCATACGATAGTGACCAAGCATAATGGGAAATTTCTGCATTTCCAGCCCTTTTTTGAGTTTTAAACTCGGCTAATATGCAAGGATATACGGTAATTTCACAATGGTACAAATTATCTAACAGAATAGGAAATTTCTAAATCAAAATCAAAAAATAAATTACTTATTATCTAACAATATGTAGTATTTCAAATAAAGAATATAATATGTATAACATAATCAGTGTATTGAAAATAAAACACAAAATGGTTTGAAGACTTGTTGCACTAAATACAAAGCAAACAGCAAAACATGGATAGAACCAAATATACCGAAAAAATGAGCCATATTTGTATAAACAAATCACAGACTTTTGGTGCAATTTAATCCAAACTTCTGCAAAATTGAAAAGCTTCAATTGTTTATCAGGGTAACCAGACATAACACACATTAAAAAATCCACAAAAATTCTAATTACACAGTTTGTAAACCAATATCTGCACATGTATATCATCAAATAATAATGCGTCTCCAAGTTATCGTATTCCAGCAACATTATACTTTTGTCTTCCTTTGTAAAAATGAGATTGAGTCAAACTCAAATAACCTTTGATGACACAACGATCAAATCCGGATGAATTTTTGATAATCGAGTGATACAACATTACAATAGAACGTACTTGTGTAGTTGATCGATGTTTGGTATTGTTGACTATTTTCCAAAAATAACGGGCAGCAGATTGGAAGTCATTGTCTGTGTATTGTTGAACACCTTTGTTATATAAATTACTGATCATATCGTCACCAACCAAAGAGTATTCTTTTATAGTTTTTGTTACAAAATCACAAGAACGTTGTCCAAGGGAGATAAAGAGCTTGAGTCCAACAAAAAATATAATCCGTTGAAGATCTTTAGATGAAAAGCAGCCCTTAATTAATCTTTTCCACACCGTAGCAACTGATGCTGAGAAATGACTTGCTTCATAATGCGAGAAAATATTGTTCAAACTTACTAAATAATCAGAATCCAACTGTTTTCCTTGATATACTATACCAGTTAAAGCAGGATCCAGGAATACAGACTTTGACAGCACCATTTTAAGTACTTGAGCAAAAACATTTTTCATCGCACTAATCACAAATGGGTGAGACAACAAACTCTGTAAATTATCAATGGTAATTGATATTGAAGAAAGAACTATCATCAGATTTTCTTCTGCAAGAAAAAGATCATAAAAAGTGGAGGTGACTATAAGGAAATATGAACGAAAGAAACTGTCATTTTTCAAGGAGGGCGAAGCATCAGAGTAAAGACAACAAATATTTGGCACGTCTTGCAATTCTGTAGAAACCAAACATGTACGGATATATAACTTGATGCCCAATTCATAATAGTACTTGGTAGATTTATTCAATCTTTCTCTTGTAGGAGGTGACCGGCAGAAACTTATGCCTTTTAAAAGAAGTTCCTTCTCCTTACTAATGTCTTGTTCTTCAATGCCTCTTTCCACATAACACATTCCAACCAGTCCACTTGATAAAATACCTTCACTCACAGCTTCCAAGTTAACAATTTCAATTTGAGATTCTTCAATGATATTTGCTAATTCCAAAGTCTGATATGCATCCTCTAATAAGTTTTGTAACACTTGAAATTTAAATATATACGCCACAATTTCTAAGGTAAGTAATTTCCCGAACATACGACACTTGCATTCATAAAGATCTTTTACCAAAGAAAGCAACTTGTCTGCACCTTCAACTTTGTTTCTCATCTCTATTTCTGCAAAAGCTATTCCAAGTTTAAAGCCATAGAGTGAGCATATGTCATTGTTTTTTTTCATCCCTTCCATACAATACTCTAACATTTCTGCAGGACTCATGCAAATCCTCATTTGCATTACTTGGGTGAAACGAATTTGCATCAGAAATTGGGTCTTCGCATGACCAATAAATCTTTCAAATTGATGATTATTTAATTCAATTGATTCTTTAGGTTTAACTTGAAATCCATACACAATGTCCAGCAAGTTCATTGCAAACGAAATCCTAGCTGGATGTTCTGTACCATCTTCAATAATTTCTTTCAAATAAATCTCTGTATGGTTGATCCACTCTGTTGGAGGTAATTTATTGGTTTGTCTAGCTGCCATCAATGTGGCTTCAATCACCCTCAGATCGTATATCCCGATTTCATTATCAGTAGAAGGTTTAGCACTCAATAAATCTTTTTCTAATCTTGCTTCTTCCCGAAGTTTAGGAATGGCATCTTCAAAACGTGCTAATTGCATCTGGGCCAAAGTTTTTCCATCAGATATTGTTTTAGGCCGATTTTCAAATGAAGGTTTATCTCTAAGCATGGCCTCTCTGGCGTTTTCATAAAGACTATCGCTAAGAACAAATATTTGTGTGAGGCAATGTGTAGCACAATTTTTACTGACATATTCAAATATTTCCTCCGTATAAATTTTGAACCGACGACATCCAGATTTTGCATATATTTTCAAGCGCAGTTCATGAGCAACTGCAAGCGCATATGTAAGAGGAAAATCACACATCTCCTCAGAAATAAGAAAGCTGGATGATGTTGTCAGATAAAAATTATTTAGAACCTCGAGAAGGCGAGCCCAATAACTAATAAGCACAGTGATTGGTCTATAAAACAAGTTTTTCACATCAATTTTGCGAGCAATATTTGTAACAAACCTTCCTGTAACTATCAAGTTTACGTTTCTGGTTATTTGTCTTTCAATGTTTTTTAAAACATCATACTTTATCTCTTTATTGAGAATTGCTATTTTATGACTTTGAAATTCATCATATAACTCCTTATTTCCCCCAACGAAGCAAGTTCTTATGAGCATTTCTTTCAAATAGTAACCATTTTTGATTTCTTCATCCGATGTTAGATACGAAGCCATTTTACTGACAGGTTGAATCAGTTCAACTTTGTGCTTACGATTTTTTGTTGGTTCTTGTCTACCCAGAGGTGTACTACATGCATGGGGAACCATTCCATCAAAAGATACACCACTAGTAGTAAAACTGTCGTAATACCAATTTTTAGACTTATCCTCAGAATAAAGGTCATTTATACTTTTCACGCCAACACTTCTGATTATAGTCTCACCCAAACCAATCATAATAATCTCAAATATCACAGCAAACCATCTAAAATATTCTTTCACCTTATGATAATTTGGAGAATCATCGATACCTTCTTCAAGAATTATTATGTGTTCAAAATCAGAATATAAAGTTATTTCTTCCCGAGCCAAAGATCCCAAACCAACGAGAGCAAACGAACATGGACAATCTCCTAGAATCTTCATACAATAATAAGCAATGCATTTCATTAAATCAATATAATTTTGTGTGTTTTCCTTCATCATGTGTTGGATAGTTTCAATTTTATTCAACTGTTTTTCAATAAATTCATCTTCAGAAAGATCTTCATCAAGTGGTTCCAATTCACGTAACTTAGCTTTTTCATCCTTTCTTAGATTCTTGAATGTTTTTGAAATATGAGAGGATAATTCAGAGAGAGTTATATCACACTGTTTACCTCCACAAGCTTGCAACAACACTTTCTCCATCGATAAAAGGAATTTGTGAACTTCATTTCTTCCTTTTATATCATATAATATTTTTCCATATCGAACTCTGGCACCGTGTAATAAAGCAGAACATTTTATAAAATCAAATTTTTGTTTCATTCCTGTAGATGACTTTGCTTTTTCAAGATATAACTTGCCCATTTCAAACAAAATATCAGTTGATTCCTTTAGTTTTGATCGCCTTTCATCACCGAAGGGTGTACAAACTGCCTTCAACTGTTCGGCTAGATCTTTTTCTTTTGGAGATATTTCGTCCTCTGTTTCCATATTTCATTAATGATATTATTTTATTCGAAATGACTGCTACAAATATAATAGTAGTGTTTAAATGTTTTAAACAGTGATCAAAAGATATTGTCTTGAGCGTTCAATTTAAAATATGATAAATTAAATATAAGTAATGATGCGATGCTTATTCATGATCTGTAATAATTATGTTATGCTTGGGAATAGGAAATGTATTCATATTACCAATTTCTATTGTGAAACATCTTATTACTATGATAAGATCACTCGTGATTTATATATCTTATAATACATGTGAATATAATTATATAAACATATAAACGACGAAAACTTGGCATCCTGTAAGAAGTCTGACAAATGTAAATTAAAAGAAAAATCCACTTAGTTATCTTCATGAAACTATTTCAGTCTAATTTTTCAACAATGATAATCTACCCATACAAATAATTTAAGTCGGCATTTTGTTAAAAGTAGTATATTGATAAATGAATGATTAATCTATTGAAATCTTAATGTGTTCCACATTAAACCAAGATAAATTAATCACGCATATTAGGGTGTTAGAAAGCCATGTTGTCCATAGTCTGCTCTGATATACAAGTCGAAAACTGTTTGTACCTATCTGCCATGGCAGTCATATCTGTACTCCCGAAGTATGCGAACCAAGATGACGGACACCAGAACGTAGTATGTGTACCAGGTTATGGTTAGGCCATACTTTTATTCCAATATCAAGAGTAAATTAAATAGCAAACCACACCCACCTCCTGGTAGTAGAACCATTAACAAATTGACATTCCAATTAATTGAATGTGACAAAACAATATTCTGGAAGGATTTAATATCATTGTTGGGTACAAACCCCTGAACCGCAAGTCCTGAGTCACGTCGAATCACAGGTAATCAGAGTCTAAAGAGTTGAGTTAATCACTTAGATAAGTCACACTGGCGTTAGTTGAGTACGAGTTTTTGAGTTCAACTCGAGGCTGCTTAACATTGTTTGCTATCAACTTTAAACATCAAATAGTGCAAAAGCATGCATCAACATGTGGTACACTGATCGTGTTGAATTACAGTGTGGCACAAGTTTTCAATATTAGTTCAAAGTTTGTATCTGTATATCAACTCTATCAATGACATACTGTGGCATACAAAACACAGGATTAACTTTCTTCAATCTAGAGTCACCAAGAAGTGAGAGACCAGTGATGGCGAACAAAGTATGAAAAGGGTCAACTATATCACCAGGTCTATCAGCAATTCCACCAGTTTCATCATCTTGTGACGCAAGAATAAAATTGATTAATTTTTTACTGTCAATCCAATGAACTTTTCCTAATATAGAAAGTGAAGATAAAACCCACCAGGAATAACAAACATCAGGTAGCTTTTCAGGTCTGCCATTGAGGCCTCCAGATGGAAGCTGTCGTTCACATAACCACCAACCGAGTAAATCTGCATCGACTCTGTGGAGTTGACCAAGAATTGACAATGCACCGAGACAGCAATATATCTGTCCAGAATGCGACTCTGATCCAGGCCGACACCCAAAACCTCCATCGAAATTCATACATGAAATAATAAAATCAACAGCTTTTTCCAAATCAACTTTGCTGTCACCTTCTTTCAACTTACTGAGTAATGCTAGTGATGCAATTGCACAAAATGAGAAACGGGTGTCAATTTCACCCCATTTATCACCAGCGAAAGACCCATTTTCATTTTGAAGGTTTTCAATATATTCCACAGTCTTTTCCACATCTATAACATCCAATCGATCATAAATACATGCAATCTGTATCGCACTGAGAGTATATAAAATACTCGGGTCGTGTTGTGGTGCAGGAGAATATCCACCACAATCATGCTTACAAGAATTTAAATAGGACAGAATTTCATCTTTATTCATTTCTTCAATTTGTCCCAACAGATCCATCGCGGTTAAACCCCAATATATCCCACTTAGTCGAAGATACTCTGTCATGCAGTATTCATAATCATTTTTCTTTGATCCATAAGCAGCTAAATAAGTAGAATGCTTTGTCATTAGCAATTCCTTTAAAGCGCCCTGCTTCAGTGTTACATCTTTGACAATGGTTGCCATTGCAAAATGCCGCCTACTTTTAAACTTTTTATATTTGCAAATGGTTAACTCAACTCCTGTTTCTATGATCTGATAAAGGACAAATTAAATATAAAATCGGTTGTTATAACTGTATAAAATAACACAAAAGGTACGAGAACTTCCTGACGTCCATATTCAGATATTACTGTCCATACAATTGACACACGAATGCTCAAACATGATAGTATTCGAGCAGCGTTTTCAAACAAAGCGGAATTGAATGTTTTACTTTGTATGTATTCGAGTATTGAGTGTAGCATTAAGATATTGTACATATCTGGTATACCGTATATGTATGTATGTTTATTTGCCTCGAAAATGTAACAGAATCTGCATAATAATTAAACAGTAAAACAGAGACGTGAATACATGTTCAAGACCTTACTGGCCTAAGACACAGATGTGCGTACATGACATGTAAATATTTCATTAAAGCTTGAATAACTAATGTCTGAATGTGGACAGATTTTTATGTGTAGTAGGAAGAAGGATGTGCAGCCTGCAGGTGTGTGTGTGCGGGGGGGGGTAATTCAAAATGGTACGTATGTAACAACACCTCACAAACATGCTTGTTAATTCATGAAAAGAGTATAAGTATAATAATATAAGTATAAGTTTATTTCGACTCCATAATCAGCAAAACAATAAAATGAATGCTAAAAATAAATAAATAAAAACTGATTATGAAATCAGGAGAGCGAACAAAACCTTAGATAAGGTTTAAAACGTACAGAATGTATATAAGATGGAAGGTTTTGCCAAGAACATGTGGTACGTGTTCACTCACCTAAAATAATTGAAATATTTCACACACGCTCACACGCACCCACACACACAACCATACAGAAGTTATTAAGTAAAGGGAACATGAAAAATTACATACCGGTAGTTAATAAAAAATAAATAAATAAAAATTACTTGCCACACCATATTAATAAATTTATCATGATTGCCACTGCCAAATTGATCAATTTTATAAATGGGAGTGAACAGTAAAGATAAACTTTTATAAAAAAATATATTGTCAAGCTGATTATAGATGGAGTCAAATGCCAAAATGCCCAACCAAAGTTGCCAGAATTGGGTGCATGAAGAGGTGGGCTAGACCACTTCATTGCCCAAACTAGAGCCTATTATTGCCAAATTGTAGTCCAGATTGCAATAAGTATTTAAATCTATCAGTAACTTTATAAGTATGAGTAATTATAATTAATTAAGGTAGAAAGACAGGGTATAGGAATATGTTGGTTGCTAAGGTTATAAGGTTTTTTTTTTCATTCTTAGATATTGACTTCTGCAAGGATAAAGGAATTAGGAATAAAGGAATTAGTATTGTTATTTCACAGGATCATTTCCGGTCTTACTACTTACTGAATACAGCGCGAAACACCGCAAAGAGCGCAAAACAGCGCAAAACAGAGGGAAACAGCGCAAAACAGTGTGAAAACAGCGCGAAAGAGCGCAAAACAGAGGGAAACAGTGTGAAGCAGAAAAAAAATTTGCAATGAGTTCGGGGCACCTTGTTTTGAGTTGGAGTACCACGGCAGCAAATTAAAAACACAAACCAACGTATGTAGCCAGTAATGCTGTAATGGCAGGTCTGCCCCTGCTGGAGACACATTTTGGGTACCATAATTTAGGACATTTTTCATATGGATATGGTTGGCTTTAGGGTTAGGGTTAGGTAAAAAGGGATCTCCAGAAGTATGTGCACCAAGATGGCGCACAACCTGAAAATAGTATGTGTGTGTGTGTAGCGGATTCAGGTTGTGCGACATATTGCTGCACATACTTCTGGAGCACCAAAAAGGTAGATAAAATTTCGCATGATGACCTATAATCCGGTACATAACCTTGTAAATATGCCGGAAATATCGCCATAAAACCATGGCGAGAGGCGCCGTGGTTCTTTCGTGGCAGGAGGTGGTAATGACTGCGTCTCCTGTTTTGCGCTGTTTCCCTCTGTTTTGCGCTGGTTTCCTTCTGTTTCGCGCTGTTTTCCTCTGTTTTGCGCTGTTTCGCGCTATTTTGCGCTGTTTCGCGCTCTTTTGCGCTGTTTTGCGCTCTTTGCGGTGTTTCGCGCTGTATTCAGTAAGTAGTAAGACCCGATCATTTCTTCATTTAATTATTGTGGCGTAATAGATTCAAGTTTATCGTGGATGAGACATCAGCCTGCGAATTTTGTTGTTGTAGACACCATTTATATTCAATAAACTAGCCATTGTATTGATCATCACAGAACGACCTGAAAAACAGAAAACAAATCTGCGAGTAGGATATTCAAGGGTTACATATTTGGAAACAGCACTACCCTACACTTATGTTTAGAATTAATTATTATTTCGAGTAGATATTGATTATTAGTTATCTATCTATAAAACGCTAGTTCAAAGACCAGAGTTGAAATATGGTTGGGACACAGGGTGAATTCCTCGCAAACCATGCAGAAACTCTCAAACCACACTGACCATTCGTATGTTGGCCTTCACATCAACTTCACAGCAGAACCTCAACCTAGGATAAAATTTTGTATACACACAAAACAAATCATAGAATACCACAAGAGATTATTTAATTTTCAAATAGGCACCCTGAAGCTGAAGTTATGCAGTTACAGAGTGATGAAACGATAGGTGTGATATGGATAGGATAGGATAGGATTTACATATTTATATGTTGAATATAATGCAAAAAAATATTTTTTTTAAATGTTATAAATACTAGTACGCCTTTCAAACCTCTTCGGAATATTCTTAATGCTGCTATATACAAATATACCGGTACCGTACCGAAACCGTATTCTCACAAATCTGTAGCTGCATAGACAGCTGTAAGTGCTACATGGTACGGTACCAACTACCATACAGACCATACCGGTACCGTACCGGTACATACACACCGATTCCTTGACCATCTGAAAACACACTTACATGCATAGACTACATACCGAAGGCGAAACTGTATTCTCATAAATCTGTAGCTCATAGACAGCTGTAAATGAATATGAAAATTCAAAACAACTCAAGCCAACACGCCACCCGCTGGGGCTGTTCACTATTATCAGACATGCACATTGCACATGCATATAACCGTAAATATATGATATAGCGGGTTATTTTTATTTTATAAAAATCCAATAAAAAACAAATGGGTTACATGTAACAAACAGCTAGATCAAAGGGAATTACTAAAAATTTAACTTACTGCTTACAACGCGAAACAAAAGAAAACGGATCAAAAACAAATGAAAACATGCGAAACCAAGAAAATCGTGCAAAACCCTAAACTTACATGCAGTGGTGGGATTCAAATTCGATCCGACTGAATCCCACCACTGCTTACATGTATGCATGTTTTTTTGTCTCGTAAAAACAATATAAAAGAGTTGACAATTAACAATATTAAAAACTAACGTTTACTTGGTAACTTTTATTTTTTTTATGGTTCCACAATGTGGATTGTTCAATAAGTAAATAATAGATTGTTAACTTTTAGATCAGTGGCCCTCAACCTGCGTATCACCGCGGAAGATTTCAGGGATGCGAACAGCTTTAAAATATTGCAACAAGCAACTTTTGCGATATTTTATTTATTATTTATTTTATTTACTATTTATTTATTATCAAGCAACTTTTGAGTCAGCTAAAATATGCCGACAACGCTTTCTCTTCATCTTCCATATTACTATATATGTATTCGCTGGAAGGCGTTTATAGCAGTGTATTCGGGGTAAAGGTAGGGTGACCATATTTTTGTGACTTCAAAGCGGGACGCCTCCAAAGACAACGAACCCTTTACTGTGATTTTGTAACTTTACATTTTCCGATTTTACTACATAGGGTTACTTTTTAAATTATCCCGGCTGTTTTCATTAGCCATATTGTCATCGAGAGTTCATGCGTATATTCTCTGTTCAAATATCGGGTTCAGTTTGAAAAATAGAAAGAAATTGACGTTAACGATATAAATAATTCGAATTTCGATTTTTAATGTGCAGCAAAAGAAAGAAAGAATAGTAAAATAACCTGGCGTTTTCACGCATTGAGAATTTACTTCGCCAATCATGCTTTTCTGTAGATTTCTAATTTTACATTGCAATCAATCACACTACTGCACTAACGTTACTTCAAGATGAACAAGGAAGTCCAAACCCAGATTCTGGCAGCTATCTCATCTCTTCAGGCCAAGCAAGAAGAGCTAATGTCACATGCAACTCTATTATCTGCCTCTAAAGACCATGGCAACCAGTCCCAGGATATCATTAAGTTCCAGAATGACGTGGCTCAAATCTCCTCCAAGATCCAGGAGATTATTAGCAGGCTGGAGACTTGTGAAAAGCAACAGGACGATTTAGATCAATACAGCCGAAGAAACTGTGTGATTCTCCATGGCTGTAGTTCTGTGCCAGAAACTGAATACCATAAGTTCGAAGACTTCATAGTGAAAACTCTCAACGACAGCCTTAAACCCAACCATCCTATTGTGAACACTGACATTGATATTACTCACAAATTAAAATCAAGATCTCCGAAGAACCCCATCATCATCAAATTCGTCAGAAGATCAACGAAGAATATGGTGTATGGTAGAAAAAAAGAACTCAAAGGCAGCGGATTGTCCATCACTGAGTCCTTGACCCGTAGCAGGCTCAAGCTACTCAGCGCTGCCAAGGAAGCCTTCGGAAAACAAAAAGTGAGCACAATGAATGGGATTATCTACGCTTACCTAGATAAAAGGCGAGTAATATCTTCCTTAAATGATATCACTACTCTCTCTCGTCCCCTCTACTCCAAGGCTGCTGCCCGTTCAGTGGGACCAACCTCAAGACGCAGCGGTAGCCTATGAGCAGCGGGGAACGATTAACTCATTCCTAATCTCCATTTTTCTTATTTAAATAGGCTAGTGCTGTCTAATCAATGGTTCTCCATCTTTCAAACATCTGGAAACCTATATAGCCAGACTAGATATTTGACTTATTTATTCATTTTTACTTTTATTTTGTTGTGCCACTGCCATGAAAACTAATCTAAAATACCCATGTAGAAATTGCCACAAATC